ACCAAAAACCAACTTATAAATGCATTTCATGCTGTTCTTTAAAAATATTTATTTAGAGCTAATATGAATGAGCTGTTCCCTCCTTCTGGTCTGATAGCCTCTCTCTGCCTTATAGTCCAACTTTCTGCCATCAGTTCAGTCCCCCTGGAATATGAGACAGTCTTTTATTTTTTTTAAAAAAACAAACTTTTATTCTATATTGGTTTGCTTACAAAGTTCATATACATTGTATTTCACACTATCCTTCATTCACATTGTGTTTGGAAGATGAGACACTCTTAAGCTTGCCTCTTTGCTTTTGCAAAGTGTCACTCAACCTCTCACCCCTCCAGCCTGCTGATACTAATATCCTTCAGACCGAAAACCTTGTGACTGTCACTGGTTTTCTTCATTCATCGGTTGCCTTCTCCTCTGAGCACCTGTGTCTGCCGAGTTCTTGCCAATTTTGTGCTGTTTCCTAGTACTTTCTGGTTCTTCAACTATGTTAAAAACTCCATGAGGGAGCTACTCCCTATTCCTGTATCTTCACAGAACCCCTCTACGATGCCAGAACATAACACATGTTCACAATGTTGATGGATTGGTTGACACAAACATTCATAGCTAGGGAAATCCACATGTCTGTCCCAGCAGGCTCTTCAGATCTCCACTGGGCTTCTGCAGAAGTCATGCCCTCAGGAAGGTCACAGCTGGAGGTCAATGTGGCGTGCCCAGAAAAGCTGACTTTGGGACTAAAAACCACAGTGGTTTCTAAAGACCAGATAGACAAGCAAAAATTCAACAAATATTTTTCTTTCCCTAAGAAAGCCTCAATCCCTGGGAGAGTTTCTGAGCTGCAAGCTCAGCAGAAGATATGAGGTGAAGGAAAAATGCTCTACTGATCAGAACAGGGATTCCTTTTATATTAGAGGTGATGACTCCATCCCCAAGACTTTTTAAATGTCTTTAATGTTCTTTGAAAACCTGTGATTTCTTTTACCACTCTGAACTAAAACAACTTCCTCTAAAATGCACATTTTTTTTTGTCCTTTTAGCAGTGCATGAGATATTCAGGACTCTTCTCCACTACCACGATTCAAAAGCATCGATTCTTCTGTTATCCTTATTCACTTCCAACTTTCAGGGGCATGGGAAGCAATTTAACATACTATGACTTGGGTCAAGCACACCTTAGTCTTTAAGTTGTCATCCTTGCACTTTAGCACTTTGAAGAGATCTTTGACAGTTGATTTGATTAATGCAGCACATCTTTTGATCTCTTGACTGCTGTTAGCATGGATGTCGACTGAGGAGCCAAATAAAATTAAATGTGGGACATGAGTCTGTTCTCTATCTATCATGATGTTGCCTATTGGTGCAGTGATGAGGATTTTTGTTTTCTTGATGTTGAGATGTAATCCATATTGGAGGCTGTATCTTGGATCTTCCTCAGTAAGTGCCTCAGATATTCTCTTCAGATCTTCTGCAATCCTGTTACCACATTCTTGTTCACCTAGCCCAGCTTCTCGAATTATTTGCTCAACATACAGATTGAATAGGCATGGAGAAAGGCTACAACCCTGATGCGTGCCTTTCCTGTCCTACCCTGTTCTGATAGGACAACTGCTGTTTGAAAAAGAGAGAGAGAAATAAGCGATACAAAGACAGAAAGAAAAAAGAAGGAAGGAAAGGAGAGAGAAGAACAGAAAAAACAAACTGATAGGGAGGAAAGAAGAAAATAATAAGATACAGAAGGGAACAATCCCACATTTGTTCTGTTGTGGTTTTATAGGCCAGTGTTAGAAAAAACGTCTGGCATCTTCCTCATTTCAGATGAGACTCTTGCTAACTTTTTTTTCTCTGGGCTATTTCCTCATCTCTCTTCTCCTCTATCATACAGAGCAAAGGGTGCTGCAGCAGATGTGCTTTCTAGCAGGAGTGTGGTTACATCCTACATGAGCATCCTGAGCATGAGGACAAGAGGTCCTGCGGAATGTGTCCTGTCTGACCTCAGGCTCCACAGTCTCAGCACAAGCACAGCACAGTCAAAACAGGCAACCCTTTACGACAAGGATCTGGAACAGGAGGACCTTGCAAAGTGGCCTGGGGGAGGGAGAAGGAAAAGGGAGGGAGGAAAGTGTGCAATGGAGCAAATGAAAACCCAACCTTAATATGTAAACATTCGTTAAAATCACAATGAAAGCAAAAATACTTTAACAGCGATGTTAAAAGAAACATAGAGAGAGTGATGCCACCCTGTGAAAGATGTCCCCCTGCTGAAAAAGGGGAATAAGAGGACAAAAGATTAATGGCTGTAGTCCCATGTTAGTTGTTCTCAAAAACTGAGCTGAGAAAATGTCTACAGTATAGAAGAACATTTAATGCCTCTCAAAAAAAATGACTTATTGGGGAGTTTAGATAACATAGTGAATGTTATTGGACCAATTCATAGCTCCACCTCAAGTGAGTTTTCAGAGGCAGTTAATCAAGGGGAGGAGATTGCTCATCTTTTTCCTGAGGGACAGCCTGGTGGATTTGAACCATGTGTCTTTGGGTTTGCAGTGCAGCTTCTTACCACTAGGCCACCAGAGTGTTGTTGGAAGCCTGACAACAAGCTGTCTGGAAGTCATTTCTGAATCAGAGCAACCCTTCGTACCATGAACTGGAACACTGTCTGATCCCATGCCAGCCTCACAATTGCCACAGTGAGCCCCTCGTTGCAGCCGCTGTGCCAATCCATCCCCTGAGGGTCTTCCTCCTTTTCACTGATCCTCTAGTTGCCCTTCTCTTTCCTCCCCAAATCCCTCTGAAACAGAAGGACTGGGATGAAACGTAGGTAAACCCACCCACAAAAGAATAAAACCCACTGCAGACAAGTCAATTCCAACTCAGGGTGACCCTCCATAGGATTTCCAACAGCAATGAGGCATTTCTCAAACTGAAAGAACTGAAGGGGGAAAAACAATCAAGATTGAGTTGCAGTATTGAAGAAGTTTATCTATGGGCAATGTATTGAATACCATTGAGAGTGTCAAAAGATAAAATATACAGAGTCACTGGGCCAAAAAGAATAGGTCAACATTCAAGCATTTTAGTAGATATCATGTGGTCAAGAACGGATGGTAATTGATGAAGATTCTGAGAGCTTACAGGGGACAAAAGATCAAATTCTCTGGGTAAGGTAATTCTTCCCAGCACCCCAAGCCAAACCAGGATTCTGTTGAGAAATAGAATGCATATTGATAGTAACCAGGTTACCTCTATAAGAGAACTGAAGGAGACACTTTTCACTCTATACCAATTTGTTCTATCTGAGCACTTCATATGCTTTTATTACACTATTTAAAAAAAAAAAAGGTTTTCCCTAAAGCTTTTCAAGGATATTAGTAATCGGCAAAATTTGAGGACCATTCCTTTTAGATGATAAGGAAATTATCAAGTGCCTTATCATCAAAGAAGAATGATCTTCAACTGGCTCTCTGTCCCTTCTTCAGCAAGGAAGAAGGGAAGTCAGCCAGAACCAGTTTGCAGAACTGATGAAGCTGAAAGATTGTCTGAAAGATTATAAACCCAAGTTCTCAGTCACTGGAATGAACACATGAGTGAGTGAATGAATAAACGAGCATGAAGCAGTCATTTGAGGATGGGTGAGTGACAGGAAGAAAGAAGAATTAAGGGAAATTACTTGGCCATACTAATCCTTACTTGCTGAGACTTGCCATTTTCTGCAATGATATACATTGCGTTTCGGAAGTTAGCCTGCAGTGCTGAGTCTATTCTTGCCTCCTTAAATAATGTGAGAACTGGAAGTCTGATTTAGCTACTTACCATCATTAATTAGCATTCAGACTAAGGTCCGGATTCCTAATTGTCATTGTCTATTTCTGGGAAGAGGAACTCTAAACAGTTGCCTGTGAAGCATGATGCATTTGCTATAGTTCTTTTCACATACTTGATAGAAGAAATGTCTTGAGCTTATACACCAATCCTTAAGAACTTATCTAATATATCAGTTTATTTGTGTTAAATGCAACAAAGCCCATTCCTGTTCATAAAAACCTTAGAGGGTAGGCTAGAACTTCCCCGTAGAACCTGTAAATTTAATGGGAACAAGTTGGTAGTTCCCCTCTGTCACTGAGTCAATAATGTTATGTGCTGTCAAATTGACTACAACTCATAGTAACCTTATGAACAACAGATCAAAACCTTGCCCTATTCTGCACCAACCGCATGATCTCCACCAGGCTTGAGCCCATTGTTAGCAATCGCTGACTGTGTTAGTCCATCGTGTTGAGGGTCTTCATCTCTTTCTCTGACTGAGCTACTACTAGGGGGTTTGAACTGCCAAACTTTCAGAGAGTAAATACGTGTGTAGTCACTGAACTACTAGTGCTTCTAATCAGAAAAGAACCTCACAGAATTGTGTGTGTCTGTGTGTGTGTGTGTGTATCCCTTAGCACACAGTAATCGACATATAATGATATGTTGTTGTTGTTGATTGCCATCTAGTCGAGCACGACTCATGGCGATTCTATGAACAAAAGACCTAATGCCTTTTTCTTTAACAATCATAGTTTCTAAGTTCATAGAGTTTCCATAGGCATGTGGTTTAGGAAGTGGATGCCACTCCTGCTTCCAAATCTGTCCTACAGCTGAGAGCTCCACCAAACACTGTCCACATTGGTAAACCATCATGGTGTTTGATACCCCAATAGCACAAGATTCAGCATCACAGCAAACCCAGATTACCTCAGTATAGCAAATTGACAAGGAGTCATGTACAAAGTTAAAAATTCTCAGTAATTGTTCTAAATCATGAGTATTTTGAGGCATTTTATAATTTTTAGAGTACTTCCATATAAAATTTACTTACCCTTATTCTGCATAACAAAACTTAACTATTCAGCGGCTTTTAATTATTCACTTAATCCAGTTCTCCATTTTCATAGGTCCCTAAAAACTGACTATTACCCTCTTAATAGTAAGGCTAGGTCTATTTTTAATTTCCCCTTTCTGTTCAGATCAGTTGGCAAAGGTAATAAAAGATTTAGATATAGAAACTGACTGCATTTGGAATGAGACAAAGACTATAAATAGGCAGGTCAATGAAAAAGGTTAAAGTCTGGTCTCCTTCTGAGTGTCAGAATCCAAGGCACACATCCTTGCGTGGTCTGTATGCTGGCATGGGAGTCTTGTAGGGGCCTCTAGATGGGGTGTGTGTGGGGGGGGGTGGTGCAGAAATGCTTTGCAGCATATGTGAATGTAAATCCATGCAAGAAATGTGTGTTAGCGTGCAGAAGGGTAACATGTAATTAATAGATTACAGAGGAGTAATTGCTAAATTCATGAATAACAGTGACTCTTGGTTCACATTCTTCCCTGACAGTGATTACTGAAGACCTCAGAATAAAACACTGCTCCCTGATAGCTAAGCCCCCTACCACTTCTGTAGGACAATAAGTAAGACAGTTGACAAACTTGTTATGTGGTACCTCTGAGCAGTCTTTAAGAAACTTAAGGAGCTCTGGTGGCCTAGTGGTGAGAAGTTGTGCTCCTAAAACAGAGGCAAATGGTTTGAATCCACCAGCTGCTTCATGAAAGGTGGGTAATATCTTTCCATGCAATTTACAGGCACTGGAGGGTCAGCTGTGGGTTCTGACTCAAAAGCAATGGGTTGATACTGAGGCCCAGCGAATCCTCCTTTAGTAAATTCTGCCCCCTTGTGGGTCAATACATTGATAAACAGAAGAGAAAATTCTTTTCTTGTTGGGTTTTAAAAAAAAAAAAATTAAAATGTATTATAAACAAAGGAAGGAGGAGGGAAACCGAGACCTTATTTTTTCAATTGTGAAAAAATTAGGCAAGGGTAAATATATTTACAGATACTAGTTTGGGTTTGCATCTTACACCTTCCATCCTATTGTACAAAGAATATCTCACTCTTACTCATATCTAACCCTCGGAGAGGGTTTTCTGAAACTGCCTAGCTTCTCCCCAGGAGCTACAGATGGGCTCACATAGCAAGAAAGCTGCAGCCTCTGGGTTTCTGCAGATCTTTACAGAACCAGGCTGCCTCATCTTTCTCCTATAGAGCAGATATTGGTTTGGAACCTCTGATTTTTTTGTTAGCAGTCAAATGCCTCAACCACAGTGCCCCCAGAGCTCCTTACTATTGTTGGAGGTTCTATTTATTATTTTGGGGGTTTTATTTTATTTATTCCTAGGTTTCTGGGGTGTTTTTTTCAAAGTAAAATAGAAAGATAAATTTATTAGAAAGTTACATCCCCAAAAGGACAGACCTCCCTCCTTGAAATATAGAGTGAGGCCTTGAATAGCGTAGTTGTTAGGTGCCATCTAGGGAGATCTCGTGGCCTACTGGCAAGGAGTTGCACTGCCAATCCAAAGGCATACAGTTTGAATCCACCAGTTGTTCCATGGGAGAAAGATGGCCAGCCAACTCACATGAGATTTACTGCCTCTGAAAACCCACTGGAGGATCAGCTATGAGTTAAATCTGACTTGACAGTATACAACAACAATGAAAACAGGTGCCATCGAGTCAACTGTGAATCATAATGACCCTATGAACCCTCTAACGAATGAATCTGAACCATGCCCTATCCTTAAGCCATTCTGATCATCTCTGACATGCTTGAACCCATTGTTGCACTCACCATGTCAAGCCCTGTTGTTGATGGTCTTCCTCTCAGATGCTGACCCTCCACCTTCAGGTTTTCCCAACACTGTGCCCAAGGACTGAGTCTGTGGAGCAGTAGCTGGGGTCTGGCCTCTCCTAGTTAAAGGAGCTCTGTGGCCTGAGGAAGCCTACAGGCGAGAACTTGCTTATCAGGTGTTCCTTCACCTGGAAGGATCACTCTGCCCACAGCTCTGTGCAGTAAAAACACACTGGTCTTCCCAGAACTAGCTCTATCCCCTTAGTCAGCAGAGTCTGTCTCAATCACTCTTGCCAGAAATAATCTTCCACGTAATAGTACTCATTTGCTTAGGTGTGACAATGATGTGATTCTGCAGAACAATCTTATTTTTAGGAGATTCTTGTTGAAACATTTAGAGGCCAAGTATCAGGCTGTCTTTGACTTTCAACTAATACTGAGAGAGAACTAGCTCACCTCGTTTGGTTTCCTTGTCTTTCAAAATTCACCATGTATAATTTTTAATAAAAATAACTCCTATTCATCAAATATCCTCTGTATGCCATGTACAGTGCTAGACACTTGATACAGATCATATGTCACGCTGGCACAACCAATCAAGGTTGGTGGTTTTATTTTCCATTTACAGATAGAAAGGGGAGAGGGAGACTCAGAAGTCAGAATATGAAGTGATCTCAAGGCCTTTGCATTAAGTCCAAGTCTGTTAATTCCAAAGTTCAGGCTTTTTCCATTGCATGATGCTGTCTCTTCACTTGCTTACATTGTTGTTGTTGTTGTTGTTATGTGCTGCTGAGCACAACTCATAGCATCCCTATGAACAATGGATCTGAACCTGCACTATCCTGTGCCATCCTTGTCATGTCTGATGTACTTGAGCACATTGGTACAGTCACTATGTCAATTCATCTTATCGAGCATCTTCCTCCCTTTTGCTGACCCTCCCCCTTTCCAAGCCTTATGCCCTTTTACAAGGAACAGCCCCTACTAACAGCATGCCCAAAATACTTGAGACAAACTTCGCCATTGTTGCCTCCAAGGATCACCCTGGTTGCACTTTCTCCAAGACATATTTGTTCTTTTGGCAATCCATGGGATATAGTCAATACTCCTTTCCTAAACCACACCTCAGAGACGTTGATTCTTCTGTTGTCCTTAGGCATTGTCCAACTTCAGATACATAAAAGTAACTAAAAAGGGCATGGCTTAAACAAGTGCACCATAGTCTTTTTTCCCTTTTATTCCCTCCATAGTCTTAAACTGGCATCACTGCTCCTTAACACCTTGGAGAGGCCCTTGACAGCAGGATAAATTGCATTTACCCAGTACGATATGTCTTTTGATTTCTTGACTGCTGGTGCCAAGGGTGTTAATGCTGGATTCAAGTAAGATAAAATCATTGACAACTTCAAACTTTTCTCCATCTATCATGATGTGTTGCCTATTGGCAACATAGGGAGCATTTTTCTTTTCTTGATGTTGAGATGCAATCCACATTGAAGGCTATTACAGTCTTTGATCTTCTGCAGCAAGCACTTCAAGTCCTCCTCACTTTCAGCAAGAAAGGTTGTGTCATCTATATAATGCAGGCTGTGGAAGAGTCTTCCTCAAATCCTGATACCATGTTCTTCACTTAGTCCAGCCTCTTAGATGATTTGCTTGGCATACAGACTTAGTATCCTAGAAATGGAATGACACATGACAGTATGTACATGGGTCTAGAAGTCAGGAGAGGTTAAGTGAACTCCTTCACTTTAGAACTCAGTTTCTTAATTGTGTTAAAGATGTGTAACCCCCCAAACCCCAAAGGTATGAAATATGCCATTATAACCATTGTAAGTGCACGGCCCAGTGGCATTGATTACATTCATAGTGGTACACAATCATAACTACCTCTATTTCCGAAAGTTTTTATTACACCAGCAGGTTTTGTACCTACTTCCCATTTTCCTCTCCATCCCCAGGGCACAGTGACCTCTGGGCTACAATCTGTCTTAATGAATCTGCCTATTCTAGGTATTTTGTATGATCAATATATTATAGTTGTCTTTTTGTACCTGGCATATTTCATCCTGCATAGTATTTTCAAGGTTTATCTATATCATAGCCTGAAATAGAGCTTCATTTCTTGTTAATGGCTGACTAGCTTGCCCATGAAAGAATACATTTTTTAAAAAATTTTAATATATTTTATTTAATTCCTTATAAGAAACACAAACACAGCCTATACACGTGGATTTCACCTTTTGGTATGCATAGGAATCAGATTGATTACATCTGTGGAAAGAATTGCTGGAGAAGCTCAATATCAGCTGTGAAATAGATTACATTATTTTAATCTGATCAATTGATAGACACTGAATTGTTTCTACCAGTAAAGGCTTTGGTTTCTTTATAAAGTGAAGATGGTAAATCAGACTTTTTCCAAAGTTGGAGTATTTTTCACATACATTGATGATTTTTTCTTTTACAAATGTTTTCTCAAAAATATTCTGTGTAAAGCAAAACACAAGAGAAAATTATCTTCCCTTTGAGCTGAATAAACAATTGGTTAAACAGAACTGTTGAAAATTTCAAAGTAGAAGGCAGCATTTCCAACCTTAGTCACCCATTTGTGGGGGCCTTTGTACCTTACCCAGCTCTTACGCTCTGGTGGTTTAGTGGTAGGGAGTTGTGGTGCTAACCCACAGACATCCATTCAAATCCAAAGGAGAAAGATGGGAAATCTCCTTCCATGCCCTTGACAGCCTCTGAAAACCTGCTGGAAGGCCAGCTATGAGTCAGTTTTGATTCAATGACAAAGAACAACGTGGCCAACATATTGTTATTGACAATCTAGTGTGACACTTTGACTTTGTGACTTGTGAACTGCATGCCTATACAGCCTGGTAAACAACTCAGTTTTAAAAGAGTGCCCACCTGCTTTGGACCTCTGTGCCAAGCCCTGTGGTGTTACCTGGCAGGGCCTTGGGACTCTTGGTGCCTGTTTTTTATTTGCAATGCTGGATGGCCCATTCCTTGAGGAAAGTAAGTATGGGACTTAGCTGTAATATACAGCCAAGAAAGGAGTGGATTTTTTAAAACTTAGCATTCTCATTTCTATTAAAAATGATCCCTTTTTATTCATAGTTGAAAAGGCCATTTCAAGGAACTTAGACTATTACAATGCTATCATTGTAGTCTGAACCTTCATATGGAGAGACACAAAAAATAAGGAGGAATAGTAGTAAACAACCAATAATAATTAGAATGGACACTGATCCACCTTGAGTTGATTTTTGTGTATGGTATAAGATGTGGATTCTGTTTCAGCTTTCTGCAGGTAGCACAGTCTAGTTTTTCCAGCTCTATTTGTTGATTGAAG